ATCGAATTAAAGAGAGAAGATTGGGTGTAGACCTCTTCTTCTCCGAGTGATGGGACGCCCACTGTAGTGAGGGTGGTCTTGATACTCGTCTTTCGATACGAGGACGCGACTTTATCCACCATCTCGCTTTCACAACTTCATCCCGCAACCCTTGTCACCTAAAACCTCGGTCCTGTACCGAGTGCATTTTCAAATCTTTTCATCATAAAACTTGAATGGTCGTGGAGTGGTTAGGCGTAGGCCTTCTCCTATCCCGAGTGCTGACGTTTACCGTAGGGTTCTCTGTCGCAAAGCACTTACCATTTAAAACCAAAAACATCTTTAATAAGAGAATGAAGTTCTCTTTGTGTTGAACTAAAGAGAGGGGATTGGGTGTAGACCTCTTCTTCTCCGAGCGTAGGGATGCCCACTGTAGTGAGGGTGGTTTCGACGCTCGTCTTTCAATACGAAGACGCCTCGTTCGCCACACCCCTTTTTATAACAAAAACTTTGAGATAAAGAATTGGGTACTACCCGTAGGGGTTACTATCCGAGGACCTGTCTCGTCCCCTAAAAAACAATCCAATCAATCAAACGTGATTTCTTGCCCCGCGTGGCGAAAACTAATCAATCTTTCAAAAAGGATATGTTACGTCCGTTCTACCGCAAACAGGCAACGCCTAAGTCTCCAACGAGCGAGCAGCAAAACACCTAACTGCTAGAATGCGCACGGTAGCATCATCCATAAAAAACATCAACACACCGTAGGCCGAACTACGGCTGCTCTGATTCTTTACTTCTTTCAAGTAAAGATACGTAGGCACAAGGGCCACAATCCTTGTCGAGCACATCCCCCCCATATTTGTAGCCCCGAACTACGTCGACTCTGACTTTCTCACATCTGTTGAGAATACGTAGGCATAGGACTGCGAAGTCCTACCGAGTCTGTTCTTTCTATTTTCTTCCCCGTTCTCTCTTTCCTCCTAACTTTCTTGTTTCTAATCCTTCCTTTACCCAGTGAAACACTCTTCTTATAGCATAATATTTAAGCAAATAAATTCACATCGACAAACAAAAGGTTCCCATCGAGTACGATGGATGCGAGGGGTGCTAATACCTTCCCCTCGCATAACCGGCTTCCGAACCCGTTCTTGGTCGCGAGACCATCTTATCCATTTTTTTTCTTAAGGTTTTCTCGATATTTTCCTTTCCCCTCATGGGATAAATAAAATTCGGTGGCGACTCTTCTGTCCTTTCTTTTTCGCCTCCCCGTCGTTGCACGATGCATTTTTCGAGTAGCGACAGGGAGGTCCCAGGGAAACGCCCTAAGCAAATCCTTTTGCAAATATAACACTCCATAACCCCTTAGGCAGAAGGCCTTCGGTAGAAGGCAAAGTATTTTTCACCTACAACTGATGGGACTATCCCGATAATAGGCGCTTCCCCTCGTGAAGTTTCAAAGGATCTTAGAAGTCTAAGTCCTCTAGTCTCCATAATATGTGGCCTAGCTGATGAGATATTAGGTCCCTTACGCGAGGCGTATTACCCTTTTATGTGGGACTTTTATCAATCTCTCAAGCAAGACTAAAAATCAAATCTCTGAGGCTTGATACAGGTCGCGCCTCTTAGTTGTGATTTATTGGAAATAATCCTGCCAGTGGGGATAAGAAGTCCCTCTTGTGAGAGTCTAATTAGCCCGAGGAATCTAAGTTCCTCATTCACCTAAATACATAGTCTGGATGACGAGACATTGAGTCCCTCATGTCTAATAGGCGCGACCTACATCAAGCCCTAGAGACTGGTGTCTAGGGCTTGATGTAGGTCGCGTCTCTTAGACATTATTTATTGGAAATAATTCTGCTTGAAGGGACACAAATTCCCTCACGCGAGAGTCTAATTAGCATGAGGAATATAAGTTTCTCAGTTACCTCAATACATAGTGTGGCTGACGAGACGCTAAGCCCCTCGGGCAAGGCGTTTTACCATTTTAGACAGGACTTCTACCGAGCCCTCAAGCAAGACTAGAAACCAAGTCTTCGGGGCTTGATATAGGTCGCGCTTCTTAGGTGTGATTTAATGGAAATAGTCCTGCTTAAAAGGACACGAAATCCCTTAGGCAAGAGTTTAATTAGTTCGAGGAATCTAAGTTCCTCAGTTACCTCAATACATAACCTGGATGACGAGACAATATGTCCCTCAGACAAGGCGTTTTACCCTTTTAGGCGGTACTTCTATCGAGCCCACAAGCAAGACAGGAAACCAAGTCCCCAGGGCTTGATAAAGGCCGCGCTTCTTAGGTGTGATTTTATGGAAATAGTCTCGCTCGAGGGGACACAAAGTCCTTCAGATGAAAGTCTAATTATTTTAAGGAATATAAGTTCCTCAGTTACCTCAATACATAGTCTAGATGACGAGATGCTAAGTCCCTCGGGCGAGGTGTTTTACCTTTTTAGGCGGGATTTCTATCAAGCCCTCAAGCATTACTGGGAACCAAGTCTCCGGGACTTGATATAGGCTGTGCCTCTTAGGTGTAACTTAAGAGAAATAGTCTCACTCGAGGGGCACGAAGTCCCTTAGGCGAGAGTCTAATTAGCTTGAGGAATCTAAGTTCCTCAGTCACCATAATACATAGCATGGCCAACGAGACGTTAAGTCCATCGGGCGAGATGTTTTACCCTTTTAGGTTGGACTTTTATCAAGCCCTCAAGCAAGACTGAAAACCAAGTCTTCAGAGCTTGATATAGGTCGCACCTCTTTGACGTGATTTAATAGAAATAGTCCCTCTCGAGGAAACACAAAGTCCCTCAGGTAAGAGTCTAATTAGCGTGAAGAGTCTAAGTTTCTCAGTCACCTCAACACATAGTCTAATTGACGAGAGACACTGAGTCCCTCAGACCAAGTGTTTTACCCTTTTAGATGAGATTTCTATTGAGCCTTCAAGTAAGATTGAAAACCAAGTCTTTGAGATTTGATATAAATCACGCCTTATAGGCGTGATTTATTGGAAATAGTCTCATTCGAGAGAATATCTCGACTGAATTGACTTGTTTTGATGATTAATATATTTTAATTTGGCTTTAAAAAAAATAAAACACATAAAAATTATGCACAATTAATTGTGAATTTTATAAATGAAAAAACACCTTAATTACTCATTATGGTTCCCTAAAATAATTTAGTCAAGTTCTGTTACATCTAAAAGCATGAAACAGCTTGTATGCATGACTAACATTTTCATAAATTCCAACGATCTTGCTCCTATATCCAACCAATTCTCTTGCTTGCATTTAAGAAGTTCTGAAAGAATTCACCAAAAATTATGAACTTTGACAAGAACAAAAATCTGCAGCACATTTCCAATTCTCTAAATGTTTTTTTTGGGATGATACTAACTTCTGTCCTAAAAACACATGTTAAAAACTTGTACTAAAAATAAATAATAAACTTTTAATAAAATTAATTCACAATTTACAAAAATAAAATTAATTCACACATTGTCCAACTTTTTTTAAATATTAGCCTTAAATATAAAACATCTCTGTAATATAAGCGAGTTTCGATTTATCTTTTGTAAATTTTTTTTTAAATCTCTCTCTTATAATATTAAATTTATATGATTTTTGTCCTTTAAACGTTAAATTTACCGATTGTAATATATATATATATATATATATATATATATATATATATATATATATATATATATATATATATATATATATATATATATATTAATTTATCCTTCAGATTAAGTATTCAAATTGCACGTTTAGCAAGTAAAATAAAAAAAATATTATAAAAAAAATAAAAAAAATACAAAATAAAGCAAAACTCATGAGATATTGTATATTTCATCCTAAATATTATTATTTCAATTCAAATTCATATTAGTGAACTTTAAGAACATTTTTCATTTAAAATTAATATTTTTCTGACTTTTAAAAGACAGTCATTATTTTATAAAGACACAGTCATTTATAAATAACTATAAAATTAAATTTTCATAAATTCCAATAATTCCCCTCCTATATCTAAACAATTCTAGGGAATGGTTTCATTTAAGGGCAAACAATTCTATGCATTTATAATTCACTAAATATTATGTATTTTGAAAAGAAAAGAAAAATACGTGCAACACATTTCTAATTCACGCCTCTAAACTTGGACAATGTGTTTTGTATTTAATTTTTATTCAAACCATCACATAAATTCATTTTGACTAATTTAGGTTTGTAATAAGACCACTCTTTCTACATAAAATTCCAATTCACATTCCCATTATTTTTTTACTCTTTAAAATTATCATGCAGATTCAAGTTTGTATAATTATTCCAAAAATTGCATATTCTAAATTCTTATCAGTATTTTATGATGCTAATAAGACCTCCCTAGTTAAACTATTTGCACCCTATCTAACCGTTTGGTCTCCTCTTCATCACCACTAAATCTTGTAGCTACTGTATTTGAAAAATTCAACATTATTTTGTAATTATAATGATTTACACGACAATATTATGATTTTTCATTAAATATGTAAAATTAAAAATGAAAAGTATATTTATAGGTTTATGTATAGATACACACTCTGCAAATTGATAATTAGCCCTATATAAGCAAACTGCCATAAAATGCCAATCTAGAATTCTGCTCATTAAATCTCAGCCCTTCCTTCCTTATCACACCACACTCCCCTCTATATTATCTTTCTACTTCCTTCTCCTATTTTTCTTCCTCTATCAACTTTCCTCAATGTTCTTGCACTCTTCATTATCCTCATTTCTCTGAAATAATCACTTTTTTTTTCTTTCCAGTTTCTACTTTATACTCTTTAATAACCTCTGAAACAAACACATTAAAAAACTCTTTCTCTCTGTCTTCTTCGATTTTCCAAGTTCATTAAAAGCACCTGCTTTTTATTCTCTGGTAAATTAATTTTCTGCAGCTTTAAAATATTCTATTCTATTGTTCATATACCTATAAAGCTTCAATTTCATTTTTTTTCGATACTATAGGAATCGAAAATGGCACCAAGATACAGTCGCGGAAAGAAGGGAGAGAAGAAGAAGAAGGAAGAAAAGGGTAACAATTTATAATTCGGAGTTATATAAGCACTTAATTTGAGAGCTTATACAATTAAGCGCTTATTTTTGCTGTTGTTGGTGTAATTTTGCAGTTCTACCTGTTGTCATGGATATCACAGTGAACCTTCCCGATGAAACTAGTGTGGTTCTGAAGGTTTGTTTTAATTTTTTAATTAATTTCGGAAGAGATTAAAGAAATAAAAATATTAATGTCATTATAGCTTTGGTGTAATCTTGTGTCATCATTTGTTCATACCTGAGTTAGGCTTAAACAAGTATTTGAATTTCTAATTTCTGTAATACGTGTGTTTCACTTTATATACTTTATAATAATGTTTGGTTTTTTTTTTAATGTGTCTATATATATAAATATAAATATATAATGATAATTCAGAGAAGCGTGTATATATTAATATTGATAGAAATAGAATACAAGTGTGTGGATATAATATGTTGACAAAAAATAAATGACTATTTCTTCAACAAAAAAACAAAATTTAATTTTGCAATTTTATTGAATATTTGAAAACTTCCACTTACATGAAGAATTTGGGTTTTTCTCTCATTTTCAATTCAACTTTCTTTAGCTTTAGCTTTCACGACTTTGTTACTATTTTTATTATTTGTATATTATTATTTATATTTATTTATTTTTATATGTTTTGAAGCAGGGAATATCTACGGATAGAATAATTGATGTCCGTCGGCTTTTATCCGTGAATACGGAGACTTGTTACATTACCAACTTTTCTCTATCACATGAGGTAAAAATTAAAAATTGTACAAGTATAATTTAAATAACGTTTCAAAAAAATTTAAAAATTTAAATGAAAATTATTTTGTATGTCAATTATGTGTTACACATGTGTGTTGGTGTATTTATTCAAATTATTTGACTTTTTCTTGACCTACTTAGACACTGCTGTGATAGGCTGGTAGCCAACCCAAAGGACCCATCGTAATCTCAGAAAAACATAAAAAGAATAAATTTAATTTTTTATATTCTCTAGGAAACCACAAATAAATATCGACCTCGTGAATATTTATTTAGATAACGGTTTTTTTGTCAGATATATAAAAAGTTAAATTAAAAAATAATTTATATATATTTTTTAGGTTATTTAAGAGATAATTTTATTTACTCTGTAAAAAATCAGATAATATATTTTCGTATTTTGATGATGTAATATATTACAGATAAGAGGGACACGTTTGAAGAATACGGTGGACGTGTCCGCACTGAAGCCATGCCTTCTCACTTTAGTTGAAGGTTCTCTCTATCCAATTTTTATTTATTTTTGGTTAACTTTTATTTATTTAAGAGAAAAATGAAAAAGAGGGTTACGACGTCGTTAAGCTAATGTTGTATCTGTTGCACGCGCAGAGGATTACGATGAGGAAGGTGCGGTGGCTCACGTGCGAAGACTATTGGACATTGTGGCCTGCACCACCAGCTTCGGTCCGTTGTCTCCGCCGAAGAATGGTGCGAAGTCGAGCAAGTCTCAGTCGCCTCCGGAGAAGCAATCACCGAAAGACGCTGCAGTGGCGGACGGAGATGGAGAGATAAGCCACTCGTGCCCTAAGCTGGATAGTTTTTACGAGTTTTTTTCTCTATCAGATCTCACTGCGCCTCTTCAATGTACACAATTCTATTTCTCATTCTTCTTCTTTGCCAATCATATTCTCTGTGTGATTTCATTTCGGTGATGATGATGTGGGAATGGATGAATGCAGATGTGAAGAAAGCTTCGAGGCGAAACGTGGAGGAGATATCGGAGGAGGATCATCTCTTCTCGCTCGATGTAAGTATTTTTTGCCTTTCAATTTCTCGTCCCGCGTTAATTAATTTTAAATTTAACGTCACGCGCGCGTCTATATGTTCGTTTGAATTTTTTTCTTTTTTAGCGAATAATACAGGCAAAATAGTTTTATATGTCCCGCGTTAATTAATTTTTTTCTTTTTTAACAATTTTTATAATACAGGCAAAATTGTTTAGAAACATAAAACTAATATGTTTGAAAATTTATATTGTTTTCAAGATATATTTTAATTCAATTTTTTTTTGTCTCCAAGCCTGATTTTATTTCTAAATTTGTTGTTAAACTTATTTAACATGGATATATTTAGAAATAAATTATTTTATTTTCAATTCGATTTTAATCAAAACCAATATAAATTTTCTCCAGCGTTAAATTATTGTATATTAATATAATTAAAAACTACTCCATGAAAGTGAAAATTTAACGCTGAAAATAATTTAACGCTGGAGTAGTTTTTAATTATATTAATATACAATAATTTAACGCTGGAGAAAATTTATATTGGTTTTGATTAAAATCGAATTGAAAATAAAATAATTTATTTCTAAATATATCCATGTTAAATAAGTTAAATTAGATTTAAGTTAAATTTAAGTATCTGATAGGAGTATGTCTTTTTACTTTGAAAATTAGATTTAAGTTAAATTTATTTTTAATTTTTAATTTGGTGGAGAAATAGTAAAGGTAAATTATTTCATAAGAAACGAAATCATATGCTATGATGAATAAGTTATCTAGCTAGTTAAGTTTAAATGTTTGGCAACTTAAATGATTTTTTATATATTAAACATGTAAAATGTCATATTTATTTTAATTTCTTACAACTTTATTGTTTTATATTATTTATTTTAAAATAAAAATACCTTTTATATTTAAATTATTCATCTTTTTAAAATTTGATTTTTTTTTTAAATTTTATTCTATTTATAACAAAATGTGATAAAATTAATGAAATAATAATTTTTATATAATTTAGTTTGTAGTAAAATATATACTTTGCAAAAATGGCAAGGGTAGACTTTGGGAAATAATTTGATAAGATAATGATAGATAAAATGTTTGAGTATACAGAAGAATTAATGTTCAAACATTTAAAAAAGAGAAATGACTAAAACAAATCAAACAAATAAAAAATATTAATGATCAAAATGGATATTATAAAGGACGCAAAATATATTTAAGCCAAATATAAATTGTAAAATACTTTAAGCCAATTGAGTGATATTGATAGGACTTGCTAATGAAAACATTTGTCATTCCTAGTTGAATTATAATTTTGGTTTAGAATGGTCATATCTTCCAAACTTACTTTTTCCATTTTGCGCCAAACATGGTAATGGTGTGCTGTGTTCACAGGTGAAGGTGTGTAACGGGAAAGTGGTGCACGTTGAGGCTTGCAGAAAGGGGTTTTACAGTGTTGGGAAGCAGAGGATTCTGTGTCATAATCTCGTTGATTTGTTGAGACAAATTAGCAGAGCTTTTGATAATGTTAGTGCTCTTTCCACTATTTGTCTCTTCAATTTAATTTAGCTTAAGACAATTAATTATTACAGTAAAGTATATAATTTAGTATTAAAAATAAATGTTACCTTGTGTTGCTTTAGTGTGTGAAACTTTTCATTTTCAAATGTTATAATGAAATAGTATAATTTGGTATTTTTAGATTGTTACGGGCATTGTATCAGATTTCGAAATTACATCTATACTCTTGTATAACTATTGAGAGAGCTTTGATAAAATAATGTCCTGAAAATTAATTAAAATTTAAAACACAAGAACTTCTCCATTACAACTTTGTTAAGTTATCAAATTTTGCTTCTCAATTTGCAGGCTTATGATGATCTCTTGAAGGCATTTTCAGAACGTAACAAGGTATGGAACAACTTCCCTTTTCTTGTATTTCTTATTTATAATGCAAAATTTGCCAAAGCTAGTAAAAGAAGCATAGAACATGTTAATGACTTCGATTGGCCCTTAAAAATCCTGCTTACTGCGACTTATGCTGTATTTTCTTATGCTCTCTGCCTCATTTTCTTTTGTTCTCAGTTTGGAAATCTTCCCTATGGCTTTAGATCCAACACGTGGCTTGTTCCTCCTATTGCAGCACAATCACCATCATCTTTTCCCCCTCTTCCCGTGGAGGATGAAAATTGGGGAGGAAATGGTGGTGGTCTTGGAAGAGATGGAGAGTATGATTTGATTCCTTGGGCCAATAAGTTTTCTTATATTGCATCTATGCCCTGCAAGACCGCCGAAGAAAGACAAGTTCGTGATAGAAAAGCATTTCTTCTGCACAGCCTCTTTGTTGATGTTGCCATTTTCAGAGCAATTAGGGCTGTTAAACATGTTTTGGAAGATCCCAGTTTTAGCTGCTCAGCAGCAGAAAATGATATTTACAGTGAGATAGCAGGTGACTTGAGGATTAGAGTCTTGAAAGATGGTTCTGTTGCAAGCTGTAAGATTGATTCCAAAATTGACGGAGTTGAAGCTACAGGAGTAAATCAAAAGGATCTAGTCGAACGGAATTTACTGAAAGGGATCACTGCAGATGAAAATACTGCTGCCCATGTATGATATTTTTATATAGATAAAGATAAAGATTGGTTAAATTGGTGCTTTGGCTGCTACTTTGCCTTTCATAGAATTGATATATATCTCACATTTAATGTGCAGGATATTACCACTCTAGGTGTAGTTTATGTAAGATATTGTGGTTACGTGGTTGTTGTGAAAGTTGAAGGTGAAGCTAATGAAAAAGTCAATTCTTCATCTCATCAAAATAATGATTTGTTTGATCAGCCAGAAGGTGGTGCCAACGCACTAAATATTAACAGGTACCTGAACCCTTCTGCATTACACACTTTTGCTGGTTTTAGGCTTTACATAATGTATATATTTCATGAAGTTTTTCTGGGCATTTATTTTGATGAATTTTTGAGCTTTCCTCACTTTTACATAGAAATTTATTGTCAGAGTGAACTGTACTCCTAGATATTTTGGATGACTGATAAATTACATTTTGGTTCTAGCTTTTGTGTTTCTCTTTTTTAAAATTTACATTATGACTCTCTTTGATACATCTAACTGTACTCATCTAGTGGGGTAAGGCTATTTGTTATTATTTTCTAGATTTGATTATATTTCTAATTTTTTTTTCAAACATCGTATCAGTTGTTTGAGCTTTCTTTTATTGCATACGTTCTCATTCATCGTTTGACAATAGGGCCTGAAATTGTTTTGTTGTTCCTTGCAGCTTAAGATTTCTTCTTCACAGTACAGCCCTACCTGAGAACAATAAACAGATGACTGAGATACAAATGTTTGAGAGTAAAGAGCTTGGCGGTACTGACACTTTTGTTGAAAAGCTGATTAAAAAAAGCCTTGCTAAGCTTGAGGAAGAGGAACTGAGTTCGGACTATTTTGTAAGATGGGAACTAGGTGCTTGCTGGGTACAACATTTGCAAGACCAAAACAGTACAGAAAAAGATAAGAAACCAACGTTGGAGAAGGCTAACAATGATATGAAGGTTGAGGGTCTTGGGAAACCCCTGAAAGCCCTCAAGAATAATAAAAAGAAATCTGATTCAAACAATCCAAATTTTGCATCTGAACATTCAAAATCTAATCTCGAGGCTGAAAATGCTGCATTATCCTCAAGTGAATCCCAGCATGAAACTGCAGCAGCTGAGAATGAGCTTGTGCTGAAACGGATGTTATCTGAGGCAGCTTTTACCAGATTGAAGGAATCTGGAACTGGACTTCACTGCAAGGTATATTATTTGTGTAACAATGTATTTTCTAGTTCTATAACAACCAAACCAACCTATTTCGTCCAGTGTCTGAACCAAACTATTCTTTCTTATTAACAGTCTATGCAAGATTTGGTCGACTTATCTCAGAAATATTACATGGATGTTGCTATCCCAAAACTGGTAACTATAGAGTTTTATTTCATTGGTTGGCTGCAAGTCTTCTTGTTAATATGACCCTTGTGGTTTTATGATAGCACTAATTATGCAATGCAGGTGGCAGATTTTGGCTCATTGGAACTTTCTCCAGTTGACGGTCGAACACTAACTGATTTTATGCATACTAGGGGTCTGCGAATGCGATCTCTTGGACATGTTGTAAGTGCTCTGAGCTGTATTTACTTGTCCTTTTTGTTGTCAAATAGGGTTTCACATTTCTTCTACTTGTCCTTCTTATTAATATGATCCTTTTTCATATTTCTTCTACAGTCCACATTCACAAAATGGCATTCGTTAGTGTTTCATTGACATCTATATAATAGCACACCAGCTCTGAAAATATGCCTTTAGGGATTGTAATTGTAAATATTGGCCTCTCAGTTCATGCCAAATTAAAATACTTTATGTTTGCATTGAAGTTTCTATCTTTTCCCTTTTATCATCTGACACATCTTTTTAGAAGGTTTTGTGCGGGACTCTGTTTTAGTTTTATGATAATGTATGTGAGCTTTTCCATGTTATATGATGTTTGAATGTTGCTTATCTTCACAGGTCAAGCTTTCTGAAAAACTTTCCCATGTGCAATCACTTTGCATTCATGAGATGATAGTTCGAGCTTTCAAGCACATCCTGAGGGCAGTTATTTCTGCAGTTGTTGACAAGGAGAAAACGGCTTCATCAATAGCTGGTGCATTGAATTTGCTGCTTGGTGTTCCTGAAAATAGAGAAACAGATGAATCATGCGATGTCCACCCTCTTGTGTGGAAATGGCTAGAGAGATTTTTGAAGAAACGATTTGACTGGGATCTTAACAGGTTGAACTATAAAGATGTGAGGAAATTTGCAATTCTCCGCGGCTTGTGTCACAAGGTAATTGAGTCTGGAAGTCATTAGTAATAGTTATACTGTGGTTTATGTTATAACTTGCTATAGCATTAAGATGACATTATTATGAACTACTCCCTCTTTCCCAAATTATGATGTTTTGGCCATTTTGCACAAATTAAAAAATGTAGTTAATTTTGTATGGAAAAGATAAATTATGAGATGCTTTATAAAATGATCCTTTATTATGCGAAAGAGAAATTTAAGGAATTGGAAGAAGAGAGTGTAACAACTAGTAGAGGGTATGATAGAAAGAAAATCATTAATGTTTCATTGAAATTGTAGAATGACTTATAATTTGGTCCATTTTTTTTTGCAAAGTGACTTAAAATTTAGAACTGACTACGGAGGTAGTAATATATTGTCAACTTTTGCGATTCACTATGGCAAGTATTTGTTACTTGTCAGTTTAGTTTAAGTTTCTACAAAAATTTATAGGGGCCTGTTGAGGTATTAGGCAAGTTGAATTTTAGACTTTAACATTGTCACCGTACACATTGTGAAAACGAATTTTACCTCTGATGTTGAAGTAGCCTCTCCTCCCGTAGTTATTTGGTGCTTAAAAGAGTTGGTTTTAGATGCTCATGCCTTTATTACGTTATTGGCAAGAAAGTCTTATTTTTGAACGAAGAGTATGTGACTCTTGTTGTGAATCAAATGAGCCTGATTTACTTTTTTTACTCCCTTCATCTGCAACAGCTGTCATTGCGTTTTTTTGTGAACATCTAATATATGTTATATGTCTTTGTTTTTTCTCTCTCCTTTTTGTTAGAAAACATTCGCAATTCCTGTACAGTATATGTGCATACAGGTAGACATAGATTAACATGAGACTGACTGAATCAGTCAATACTAATAGACCAGGCCTAAGATTATAATTGTCATTGAGTTATTGATCATTGACAGTTGTTTCTTATCATCATTTTCTGTGATAGGTGGGAATTGAGCTCGTTCCAAGGGATTTTGACATGGATTCTCCATTTCCCTTTCAAAAGTCTGATATTGTCAGCTTGGTTGCAGTTCACAAGGTAGCAGACAAGTTGAATATTGGTTCTCTCACATAATGTTTTGAAGATTATTGAATAGGCGCTAACTTATTCATCATATATGATGATCTTTTTCAGCAAGCAGCATGCTCATCTGCAGATGGAAGGCAGCTCCTGGAGTCCTCCAAAACAGCTTTAGACAAGGGAAAACTTGAAGATGCTGTTACCTATGGGACAAAGGTATCTGTAGCCAGAAGAACCCTTTCATTGCAAATCTTCAAACTATTGAAAAGTTTTTCAATCTTCAATATCTATCCTACTGAAATTGGCATATGTTATCTGCTTTAATTTATGGTAACAGGCTCTTGCAAAGCTTGTAGCAGTTTGTGGTCCCTACCATCGGATGACAGCGGGAGCATACAGCCTCCTTGCTGTAGTTTTATATCATACCGGAGACTTCAATCAGGTTATTTTTATCCCTTTTATGTTTTGGCATTGGTAGACATTATTTCATCAAACCTTAGATACATTTCAGTTATAGTTTTTATGCTTCTATACCAATCCCGGAAGAAGTTGTCTAGCTGAATGAGTTGGTATACAGAAGAAGTATTATTATATAGGATGTCCAGGGCTCGATCCCTGCGAGGCTGTGACTAACAAATCCCCCTCCTCCTAACAAATATGCTAGTAACAAGTTGTCTATAAAAAGATGCATCTTTACCAAAATATCTAATTTACATTTTCATGTTTGTCGAGTCCCAAATTTGATTTCAGTTCATTAAGTTGCTTACTTTATTACAGGCTACGATTTATCAACAAAAAGCTTTGGATATCAATGAGAGGGAGTTAGGTTTGGATCATCCCGATACCATGAAGAGCTATGGGGATCTTGCTGTGTTCTATTACAGGCTTCAGCACACCGAGCTGGCTCTGAAGTATGTTAACTGTTATACAGTATTATGGTATATAGATTTAAGTGGGTTTTTAAAGTTCGGTTTGGTCTGGAATTGATATATACTTGTAATGTTTTAACTCGAGGAAGAATAATTTATAGGAAATGCTAGCAAGTGCCCTGTTAAGAAGTCCAGAAAGGAAATTTTATTTAGGGAATGGTGCATTGATTCAACACCTTGAAACTTCAGAAATTGACTTTTTCTACATAAAACTTATCATTTATTTCCTTTTTTGACTTCTCAACAAGTGTGCTAAGGGAACTATTTAGTATGACCCTAATTTATAGAGTTTTACAAATAAAGAGGAAGATTGAATATCCTTACTTCTTGTCTCCTACCTTAACTGAACTATATTTGTATTAATCTTCACAAGTAGTGTAAAGATTGGGTTCAAAGTTTTGTAATGATATTAATTGTTATTTTCAATTTTTCTTCTGATTTATTGTTTTACTGCTTGTCTCTGCAATCAGATATGTGAAGCGTGCTTTATACCTTTTGCATCTGACATGTGGCCCGTCTCATCCAAATACTGCTGCAACCTACATTAATGTGGCTATGATGGAGGAAGGTCTAGGAAATGTACATGTTGCTCTCAGATATCTTCACAAAGCATTAAAGTGCAACCAGAAATTACTTGGTGCAGATCATATTCAGGTTTTATTTTATTCATTTATTTCCTGTTATTGCCATAGTTTGAAGTTTCTATTCCCAAGCAATCCTACGTTTTACTTTAATTCTAAATTGAATTTTTATGCTAAGAGTCCCGCATTTGATGAGAAATGACAGGAACATATGTTTATAAGTGAGGGAAATCCCCATCTTACAAGCTAGTTTTGTTAGGTTGGGTTAGGCTCAACCCAAAATTTAAGAGTTTCCTTACACATGATTTTCAAATATGCTTTATAGTAATGGGTGAAACTAATAGGTTGAAATTGTTGATTTTGCTTTACTATAAAATGCTGATGATTTTACACATGATTTTCAAATATGCTTTATAGTAATGGGTGAAACTAATAGGTTGAAATTGTTGATTTTGCTTTACTATAAAATGCTGATGATTTTACAATTTTAGTACCAACGGCAATAATATTAAAATGAACTCAAAATATATCAGTCCTTAAAGAAGTCAATAATAATTTTAACCAATAGTCTTGTATTACTCATGTAATAAAGCTTCTCATTTGTGGATAACATTTGCATCTTTTTGAATGCTGATTCATTGCAGACAGCTGCAAGTTATCATGCAATAGCAATAGCACTCTCGTTGATGGAAGCATATCCATTGAGTGTGCAGCATGAGCAAACAACCTTGCAAATTTTGCGGGCAAAGCTGGGCCCTGATGACTTGCGAACACAGGTATATTGTCACATTTAAGCAAGTTCTATGAGCTACAAACACTAGTTGGTTTAGAAGATATGGTAGTATAAAAAATAATAGAACACAACTTAGCGGTTAACTGTTATATCATCAGTATATTGAAGTCTTAAATGATGTCATAAAGAAGTGTTTGAATATTAAAGTAGTAATCAACAATATTATAGCTGGTAGATTGAAGTCTTAAGTGGTATCACAGAACAATGTTTGAATAGTCTGCATTATCATCATAATGAATATTTACACGACATAGTATGTTGCTAAAGGTATCATTTCTGTTTCTTCTTAAAACAATACACAAACTACTATATTTAATTTGCATAATATATTAATCTTTAGTTTCTTAATGAATTCTATAGGACGCTGCAGCTTGGCTTGAGTATTTTGAATCCAAGGCTTTTGAACAGCAAGAAGCTGCTCGAAATGGTACAAGAAAACCTGATGCATCAATAGCTAGCAAAGGCCATCTAAGGTATAGTAAAATAACCTTAGAATTTGATTTGGTACTTAATTGAATAACTTATGCATCAGGATTCAGGAATTACTCATGTATGTTATGCATACTTTCCTTGGCGTTATTTGATGGAGTAACTTTTTTACTTTTAATGTAAATTTAAGATGAATGTTTGTTACTTTCTTTGAAGCTTTTTCTCAATGACTGTTGTTAATACAGTTCTCCTGGTGTTCTTATGGCTAGTGGAAGCATCTCAATTTTTTTGATTTCTTGTATGTTGTATGCAATCATGAATACACTCGACATTTGAAAAGGACTTTGCGTCAATTCTAATACATTGGACACAGTGCAGACATAGACACTTCAAAACAAAACTTAATCTGCATTGGGCTCATATGTGCCTGAAGTAGACATAACTCCTATTTTATGTGCTGTTCATAGAGGGCTGTGTTATACGTAATTTCTATAGAACTGGTCTATTTATGTATGTTGTATATATCTGATATTTGTGTGATGCATTCACATACCCCTTTTGTAATGATTTTCTATATTTCTGTGGAATTTGTCAGTGTGTCGGATCTTCTTGACTACATTAATCCTAATCATGATACCAAAGGGAGAGACGCAGCAGCAAAGAGAAGAAACCAGGTAACACCGTGCCCTCTAGATTTACTGGACTTAATAATTGTCACTAGTTTGAGTCTTTAAAACCTAGGAAAAAAATATAGAAGAGTTGTCTAATTAATCAATGCTTTTTCCTGCGCTCTGAGCATACATTTTCTGACATTGCTCTAAATGTTTGTTTCGGCATTTTTAGGGTTTGATTAGTGTGGAACTTTTTATTGCCTTTATTTAACTTGTCTAAAACCCATCAAATGGATTTTCTATTATGTATTGACTGACTATTGAGAAAATATTTTAAAGCAGTAATATGTCAGGTAAACAAAAAAGCTTATTATCTGGCTCATATGATTTCTTTCTCTCTACTTTAAGGATTGCCTTAAGGCTGTATGATACAGACTCCAAAAATAAAACCAATCTTAAATTTAAAGTTACCAATACTACTTTTGCAAAATACTAATTCAAATAGGTAACTTCATTTCTGAGTAGAGAAAGATGAACAAAGGAAGTAGTCAAGATTCTCAAGAATTTATAATATACATGCCTTGGTAATTTGCTATTGTATAGAGAGAAATCTGGCTAATGGTCTATCTTGAAGGACTAACTATTATTAAAATTGTTGTACTCATGATATCAATTATAAATGGTAACATTGAACATACAACTTATTCATCTTCTCCATTTCTGTATTTTCTTTATACTATAATGAGATTTAAATAGCACGGAATATGCTTCAAAATCAATTTAATAAACCTTTTGGATTGAGTTTTTCTTGCCTTGAAACTATTACTCATCACACTAGAGTGAGAACTGAGACTTTCATATTTTTTAATTATGTGTCAGGTGAGAGCGATATCCTACCAGAACAATGTCTCAGTAAGTTCTGATGAATCTTCAAAAGAAATTCAAAAAGAGGCTTCAGATGAAGAGTTACATATACCTGAACTAGAAGGTAGTGCAGAATCTGAGAATGAGAGCAACTCGGCACCTGAACCAGAACAGCCAATTTTAGAAAAGATCCCAGATGAAAAGCCACAAACTTCTAATGAATTATTATTGTCTGAAGCACATCCTGATGGAGATGATGGATGGCAATCAGTTCAAAGACCAAGATCGGCCGGCTCATATGGCCGGCGACTGAAACAAAGACGTTCAACACTTGGCAAAGTTCATAGTTACCAGAAAAATGTTGAAGTTGGCACTGAATATCCTTCGGCAAAGAGTGCTAATCAGAATAGTAGGTATTATTTCTTGAAGAAGCGGACAGCACACCATGGGGGCTATGCAGATAACCGCGCTGTAAACATCACTCAAGGCACTAAATTCGGAAGGAAAGCAGGCAAGGCTGTTGTTGCATACAGGGTCAAGTCTACACCCTCTGCTTCTATAACTGTTGCAAATGAAACATTAGAAATTTGTGACAAGGAACCTGATTCAATTGATGTTAATCCAGTTAAGACTTCTATAGTCAGTCTTGGAAAAAGTCCTTCATACAAGGAAGTAGCCTTGGCTCCTCCTGGGACAATCTCCAAGTTGCAGGTCTATAATCCACAAAGTGAGACTTCTGTTTGTCGCGAACATGATGTTGGAAAGCATGAAGAGGAAAATGTTGAAGCTCAGAGAAACATCAATCCAACCCCAAAAGAAGCAAAGAACGTGTTTAAAGAGAAGTCTGATGATTCTTTATCTGATTCTATAGAAGATTCACAAGACGATACTGTAGTTTCTACTGAGAAGAAAGAAGAAACTCAGTTGAATAAAGTTGTGCAAGATAATTGTGTGGCAGCTGAGGGGCTTGAATCTGGGGACCTTGAAGCACAAGGAGCTGTTGATAGCAGCGTAATGATTGATGCAGTAGAGGATGTTGTGGACTCTTACAAACAAGAACTTGTTGCAAATAATCCGCCTTGCAGTTTTGAACCTTCTGATAATACAAGTTCTAGCCCACTTGGTGGTGAGGATTTAGGGGTCAATTTATTATCACCTAGTCAGAGTCAAGCTGGAGGAATACCGTATAAGAAATTGTCTGCATCAGCAGCTCCATTCAACCCATCACCCGCCATTGCACGCGCTGCACCTATTGCCATTAATATGACTCATCCTTCTGGTCCTGGTGCTGTTCCAGCTATTGGTCCCTGGCCAGTAAACATGAATGTTCACCCCGGACCTGTTAGCCCAATGTGTTCCTCTCCTCACCATGCATATCCATCACCTCCAACAACGCCAAACATGATACAACCATTGCCATTCATGTATCCTCCTTATTCGCAACCTCAGTCAGTACAAACCAGCAGTGCCTTTCATGCCAATCATTTTACATGGCAGTGTAATTTGAACCCCGTAATATCTAAGTTTGGTCCTGGTGCTATTTGGACTGGCTGTCATCCTGTGGAATTTCCTCGTCCAGTACCTATTGTTGAATCAATCCCTGATATCATTTCCGAGCCACAGGTGCAGTTTCATACAGCTGAAAGTCCAAGTTCAGCTCCAGTTCTGCTTGAGGACGTTGATAAGGCTGGGGATCCTAATAAAGAGGTAAAAACTTTAGGTTTGGAGATAAGTGAAGATGAACTGGTGAGAGTTGGTTCAGAAAGTATAAAAGAAAATGGTAATCCAAATTTTCCTGGAACCAACAATGCTGGAAACGAGCCAAACCAAAATGTTGGCTCTAACAGCAACACTAGCTGTAGTGAAATGAACATGGATGATGAGAAAACATTCAGCATTTTGATTCGGGGAAGAAGAAACCGAAAGCAAACTCTAAGAATGCCAATAAGTTTACTTACTCGACCCCATGGCTCTCAGTCATTTAAGGTTATCTATAACCGTGTCGTTAGAGGAAGTGATTCTCCCAGATCCATAAATTTCTCTTCTAGTAAACACTGTACAGCCACTGCTTAACCTTACTGTACTTTGTTGTTGCTAATGAATTGTAGCAGTTATTGTGGATATAAAAGAATTCTACCTCAAAAGTTCTCATGAAGGATCACGGTACTTCATCATTTGGGGATTCATTGCAAACTGCTCTGCCTTATGTGCTCAGCTTTATAGCTGCAGTATGCCACTATCTTTTGGGATGTTTTTGGTAGGTCTTTCAATTCCATACCTTCGAATCAGCTGAAGCTAACTCAGTATATTCCCAGTTTGAAAAAACGGAATCAAATGAATTCTTTTGTCCAGACAAATCATATTTGACTGACAAAATCGTTCAAATTCATGAAATGTTGCAGATGTCTCTGGTTTTGCTTAAATTATGTTGAAATTGCTCGTGGAACAGCGTTCACTAATCATCTTGCTCAGTCTGCGGGTTCATTGTAGTCAGTTTTGGGGTTTCAGAGGCACCTTCAAGGTGATTTATTTTATGTAGTTAGACAATTTTGAAATAATGAATTACGGGCCAAAAGACAGTTAATTATTATTACTATTTTGTTCAACTATTTTCAATGATTTTGATAACTAATTTGGTTCAGTTGTATATACATTCGTAATATTTTGTCAGGTGGTAGTGGTTCTATTTTATCTGTTGATTTGTTATTGAATTGTTACTATTGAAATAATGTGAAGGAGCATATTCATGAAGATCATTGATTGTATTTTGTTAGATGGTAATGATTCCTTTTTATTGGTTTTCTATTCGTTGAAATCACAACTGACTTGCTACTGAATAGTAGTAGCTCGTTACTTCTTGGCTCCCCTGGATCATTATCATTGCCTTGAAGAAATGTTATGAATGTCGTCTTTTGTCCAAAATAAGATCACAATATATCTGATTTTTGACTTCCAATACCCTGTCTCCAGAAAAGCTACAAATTACCCAGTGCAACTCTAAACAGAAGCACTTTGGAACTGTGATTGCCATTTTTGACCAAAGAAGAAAACTAGTAAACAAGAGCTCAATCCCTTAAAGTAAGAAAAAAACTAAACACTCCAACTAGGAAAACTTTGTGTTGGTTATGTCTGCATTTTACTCTATATGTACATTGTCACAAAGAAATACTTCTTCTTTTAAAATAATTATCATTTTAACGAATAAAAATTGTTTTAAAATGAATATCATTCTCATTTTTTAATTTAAAAATGATTGTTATTTTACTAATTGTGTCATTTAATTATTATTACTAGTACTATGTACACTACTTGCAATATATTAATAAGATTACTTTAGTAAAATGTAATGTCTTGTGACAATATTATTACGTTTCTTGATGTGTATAGAAACTTCAAATGATGTGTAAAGAAACTTTAAATGACATTCATTTTGAAACGGGAATAATATTAAGGTATGTAAGAAATGATTATTCATACACAAACTAGTATATGACTTAGTATGCGTTTGTTTGTAAATACAATGGACAATACTTGTGAAATGTGCTTACCCTTCAAGTTTGATATCAGTCTACTAAGATGTTGATAGAACAGAGGTATGATTTAATATGATAAAGAAAAGTATTTTATTAATGAATGTGAAAGTAAAATAAATTCCAGAGCTACTGCTCCTCAGTCAGAGAAACTATTCTCTCACTGCCCAAACCCTAATATCAAAAACAGAAAATCAATCAATGCCTAACTACTGTTCCATACACTCCTCTTTATATGGAGAATAATCCCTAAACTAACTCCTATTTATATAGAGAATAATACCTAAACTAACTCCTATTTATTTGTGGAGTTTTCTATTCTTTCTCACATATACCCTCCATTGTTTAGGTCCAATAATATCTCTGTTAACTAACACATTCCCATCATCATTTGTGGGATCCGATCCATTCCTATCAGGTGTAGTGTAACTATAAGATACTTTATGGAAATTGCTCATTAGATTCTTACTTATGCATATTATATTTTTGAAAATTCAAAATTGTGATGCATCTCCGGATGCACCCAAAATTACACCAACCATTTATTATGAGTTTTACCTTGATTTTAAAAATTATGGTCTAGACATTCATTTTAATGATACTTTTAGGGATTGCGACTTAAATGATGTGGGCTTTAATGGGGATAATTTCGCCTGGGATAACAATCAACTAAGTAATAAATTTTTTATTTTGAATAATTGAAAAGATAAGTATATAATTCACTCGAATTAGCATTTGCTCGTATTTTTGTCCGCCTATAATCCTATCCAACTATATTATGATTTAAATTTTGATTTCAAGTCAACCACATCGTAGTGTTATGTTTGTGAGAGTCACAAATAGGGGCGACGTCGGGACCCCTGCCCAGAGTGATGTCTCCTAGGCGAGACCTACAAGAGCATGAGGGCTCACCCTTGGGACAAATGATGTGTATAGTTCGGTTATCTTTCGTTAGTCACATGAGAAAGAGTAATACCATGACTCCCTAAAAAATAGGTAGTCAACCGTCACCCCTAGTTATGAGGGAACAAATACCGGCTCAAAAGGAGTTTCCTAAACCGTAAGCCCAAAAGTCCCATATATATATATATATATATATATATATATATATATATATATATATATATATATTATATATATATATATATATATATATATATATATATATATATATATATATATATATATATATATATATATATATATATATATATATATATATATATATATATATATATATATATATATATATATATACACTTATCAGCTAATAGGAGAAAGGAAATACCATAACCTACACATTCTAAACCTAAAGCAACACACTTGCATAATACGGTCTCTCATCTCACGTGGACAGAACCTCTAAAACCACCGGTAAACCATCGCACAAGACTTTTCGCTGTCGTAGGCAAACCCTAACCTTTAAAAATTAGTATAAACCTACTAAGGTTTCATATTAACCTTTCCCTTGCAAGGACACCATGCACGCCTATACTTTTTTACTATTACAAAGGTGCCCACCTATGGCCCAGTAAAACTAATATAGGTCACACCTTCTTTACCATGATCACCATGCTCAATATTACCTTTCACTTCTAACACCTAGCCATCATTGGTCATCATTAAAAAGAGAGCTACATCCCATATGCCAGAAGGTACTAGTGATAGCGCTAGTATTAACGCCCTAATAGAGACGTGTGTCGCCATGGACGAACTAAACCATTAGAATCAGACATTGGAATATAATATCTACAACATTAAACAATGCATACAAGAGTCCAATCCCCTAGAGAAGATGGAAGTGTTGGATCCCATCCACTCTCAGACAAGATATGAGATGCATATGTCCCTTAGGGATTCAAAACTCCATATTTGGCCAAGTTTGATGAACACGGTGATCCATACGAACATATCGCCTCCATCAACAAATAGGTAGTCGTCATTGGAGTGTCTGACTCCCTGAAGTGCAAGCTATTATCTAGCACCTTCAGGGATGCTGCACTGTGATGGTATATGGGTTTACCCCGAGCCTCCATTGCCAACTATCAATAGATGGTGAGGAAACTTATGCATCAACTCACTTCTAGCCGTCATAGGAAAATGTCCACCACCAGCCTATTCAATATACGATAGTCCATTAGAGCCATCGAGGGACTATCTCGTCCGGTTCAATGAAGCGATCATCAAGATTGTTCCTCCGAACCAAGAAATCTTTGCAGGGGTGTTCCAAAACGAACTTAAGATGGGACACTAAAATTAGTCCCTCGCTCAGAAGCCAACACTTTTGCTAGCAAAGGTGATTACTAAAGCATAATGTTACATAATAGACGAAAAAATCAACATCAAGAATAAGGAGTGATATGTCAAAGAGTGCATCCCTAACGCCGAAAGTTCATACCATCTGAGTAAGAGAAATTATACATCTCCCATAAAAGACAAGTCTGCCTTCAAGAGAGTATATAAGATGATGAAAAACTTCACGTCTCTTAACACTCGTCGTAAACATATTTGGCGCAACGTTTTTCACATGTACAACAACATTCCTACGCCTCCTATAACACCCCATTTAAATATTTAGTTGTTTATGATTTATTGTGTGTGATTATGTTGGAGTAATCTATGTATCAGGCAGTCGCTAAGGTATACATATTACATATTGTAGGAGTGATACCTTACTGTACCACTTCCTCGCATCATCTCACCTGTTGAGCATGAAGATGACACTAGATCTTTTGATGTTAGGGGTCCTTCTGATGATGTGCCACCGCATCCACTGTCTCTAAATGGTGTAGGTGGCCAGTTACTTCTGCAAATGATAATAGTCATTACAGATAATCTCATGGGTTTGGTAAACCTAGATGGCGAGGTTTATACTTTGTCATCTCATGCAACACACGTAGCTCGTGGGAGACATATGTAGTCATTATTATTATTTGTATATTATGTGTATTATTACTTAGACATTTGCACTGTATAATTTATTAGATAATGTTTCGTCGCTTTCGTTATTGCAAGATGAACATTACTTAACACATTATAATTAACTTAATTTAACACCAAAAATTACATAACTTAGCAATAATAAATACTATAAACCTAGACACTACCGTACCATATGATTCTGGACGTTTCAACATCATGATTATGTCGTCGACAAATTTAGAAATTGTTGCATTAAACTCGATAGATATCTTTGTTAGCCTACGATGATATGTTATCTACATAACATTCAAATCTTCACCCGTTTTCAACTCAATATAGTTGTATTTCACCATTCCATCAATATCAATCAATGGTGCACGAAACTTAATCACCTTTCTAATCTCGGTGACATGCAACGTATTACTCCATTTGAATATTAGAAGAGCGAGATATGGGGTGTCCTCCGAGAGCTCAAAATCAATTGGAGGTTTCACCTTGTTGGAGTACACACATACCATAAACGAATAGTGATGCATTTTAAGATGTTCGTTTTAACAACACATGATCCCTATCTATACAAATTTGGACTCATTTTGAACCACACACAACTGTGGATAAAATCACAGTTGTACAAAACTGTTAGCGAATCTCAACCGTTCAAATTACACAATTGAATATTTTGCAATTCCTCTAAAAAGTCTAGTAACTGCTAGGAGATTTTAAAAATCAGCAACTTTACACTATCAAAATTTTCAAGATTGTGCAAAAAATTCGGTACAACATAATGATTTTTACAAAATCGATAAATTTTTTTCATGCATCGGTTTTATTTATAAAAAACGGTACAAATTCATACCTGACTTTTAACATACAATTTTAGATTTATTTATTTATTTATATCGGAAATTTCATTTGTTCTACCAAATTTTTGATAAGCACTTTTTTTTTTTTTTGAAATTTTGTCAAGAATAGTATAAATATTATTGATAATAGTAGAGTGGGGTGGAAAAATATTCTAAAATAAAAACTATCCAAATAGAAAATTCTGTTTGGAATAATATGCTAGACGCAAATGTAAAGCATTAAATCCTATTGGTTTTAGTTATTTAAAAATAAAAAAGAGCATAAATTTGAAATATAAAGAATTTTGGCAGCTTTGGAAAATATAGAAAGGGTGGTTGTTGTTTTTTTTACGGAAGTAATTATCTTAATTCTTAAGGAGAGTGAATCTAAAACTTATGGAGAGTTAGAGTAACCTCGTGCAATTCTTTACTTAAAGAGTCTACTTACTGACCTCTAGTCCTCTACGACACTATGATAATAAAATAATTATTCAACGCAACTAGACGAGCCTTGATTTATAAATGTGTATTTACTTACTAATGATTTCAATTTAACAACAAGGGGGTGTAGCTCATATGGTAGAGCGCTCGCTTCGCATGCGAGAGGCACGGGGTTCGATTCCCCGCACCTCCAATTTTTCATATATTTTCAGTAATTTTTCTTATTTAACCAGTTCGTACCCTTTACGTGATAGAGAAAATCAACGATTCCACGTGTTTGCGCCCATGTAATCAGTTCGTAAAAGTCATTTTTCTTTTTGCTTTTTACTAAACAAAATGGTGTGTTATTAATTAATGAGATAGTAATAAGTTAGGTACAATTGATCACATCTGCAGAAAATAACCATCCCAACAGAAGCATAATAAGCCTGTCATGGGGGCAGTGAAAATGATTTCACCGATCTCTGTCAAAAATACCCACCCCAGAAAACATCAAAAACCAAATCCTCAGAACTAGAATTGGTGGCATTCTTCTACTTATCCCATGCAACTGCTTCGATTTCTGACTGTGCACTTCTGTATAACTCAAGCCTCTTTGCAAGTGAGGTTCGACGCTGCATCACTGCCGGATCCTCATTCAGCAATGAAGCTAGTTGTTTCCCCTGCAAAAACAATACATGTTCATCATTCCTTTTATCGCGTATCATGCATATATATTTTAATCATCAAGTAAACAACACAAGTAAGAAAGAAAGTTTACCTCCTTTTTCCCTAAATCTGTAAAGAAATGATCGAGTAAGCTGCGCTTAGCTTCACGCACTTGACAATAAACTACGGACTTGGGAATGGTGTGCCTGAGAGTACTACATACCATGTTCACATATGACAAGACTGTGGTAGCTGTTATGTACAAAGGAGTCTCAGTAAGAAAAATAGGGAAAAAGATGCTTCTAATACTTGGAGCAAGTCATCAATTTAGTTCTTGAATTCCTGTTGCTTACCAATTCGACGAAGATAAGCATCGTTATATCTGTCAAAAATTGAGTGAGTTGGATTTCCACCCTTCTCTGCGTCTTGGGGAAGTTTGCGAAAAAATTCAACTGTCAAATAACCATATTCCATGTCTACCAACAACAGTGTTGCTTTCTTACTTTCATCTCTCATCCTCTCCAATGATTCAATAGCTGCATTTCCGAGTTCTGCTTTCAAGGTCGGGTACTGCTTTAATTCCTATAATCAACAGAAAACTGCTACCATTAAGACATTAGATAAAATAATTATGTGCAGGCTTAAACATGTAGAGAATTGTGTAGACAAAAGATAAAATAATCAATATGCTCTACTTGCCATTGTCTCATTCATAGACTTGTGAATCAAATCCTTCAAAATTCCATGAACCTGAAACATTACAAAAGTAATGTATTAGGTGAATAACTGAATACAAGAACGAATTTCATTTCTATTTCCCAAATTTGATTTCAACTTTGTCTTAAATAAAGTACTCCAGACTATGTACCGCGTCAACAGCTGCTTCAGCAGGCACTCTAATAGATACTAAGCAAGATTCAATAAGACGGCGATATCCTTGCTCAGGAGCGATAAGATGAGGTTGATACCCGTCTGCTTCAGTTATTAGTTTTCTTACATTGTCCATTGATAGATGTTTGTCAAACTGCAGTCTCTTTAGAGCTGCTGGAAATTGATTATCAAAAACTTGATAGATTTTCTCACCACCAGACCGTCTGTGGATAAACAATAATTACCAGAGTTAAATTGAAGATGTCTACTATAAAAGAATTACACATTAATTAATCACGTAGACTAAATTACAAGGGAAAAGGAACATACATGCCATCCAGACGATCTTTAAAAGTCTGATCAAAATTCCGACATATTTCCATTATCATGTACAACTTCCCCTACAGATGGATAAGAACATAAATTCTTCATTCATTTGTAAATGCAAAATGGAGAAAGAGGAGGGGAGAGGAAGTGGCTTACTCCAGTATCAGCAGCAATAGGTTTTCCAATCCGGTTCATTTCTGCCTCCAATTCAATAATAGTCTTGTTAATAAGCGATTGAAGGCCTGGGATCCGAGATTTGATGACAGTTTCCAAATGCTGAAAATTTATATATATACTTTATAAAATTTAAAAATAGGAAAATATACAACTCAGAAATTTTAGAATCCATAACTTGTTCCTCAAGAAATGTCAATCGAGCTTCAAGTATTACTTTATAATGCACATTACCATACCTTAGATAGAACCTTTCCTAGATGCACAGAGCCCATTCTAGGAGCTAGATGTTTATATTCCGGGGTAGTAGCAAAATACTCATTCTCTCTACGCCGAGCAGCAATCATATCAACATTTTTGTTAATATCAGCTTGGGAGCGATTAACAACACCAATCCAAGGAAAATTTAGCTTATATGATTTCCCTTCAAGGATCTAGAAAAGAAAACAGGCAATAAGGAAGCAATAAGGGGAAGCCGGTTTATAGACTTGACAGATTTGACCCTGTGATTTAAGTTTAGATAAGTAAAATAAGCCAAATTAGGAAATCTGAGTCCAAAGTTTGTGTGATTCTGAAGTTTCATCTGAACTGTAGAGACTAGGGACATGTAAAGGCAAAAACATAACAGTGTCACTAAGCAAATGCAGGATATTTCATCCCTATATATTCCATGTTCCATATTCTATATCTCCGGGTGTAAATATCAAAGTATCCAACATAAGGAAAAAAGTTTTTTCATTCACCAAAACCATGTTACCTATTTGAAAACTCTTGCAATATAATTGTAATCTACTTGGATACTGATATTTTAGGTTATACTCTTAATACTTAATAGTTATACTCTATGAAGTATGAATCAGACATAGACAGTGGATACGACACAAACATGCTCACACTACTAATTGCATAAACATAGGAGGCTGAAAGAAAATAAAATTAAATATGTTATAATTACATAAAATTAGATATGAACATTATAAATAAGAGATCTAAATTGAGCATTAGGATGGCCATCTAGCCAGAAAACAAAAACTAATATGTAATAAAAAGGAGACTACAGATGGAAAACTGAGAAAAAAAGATGAAAATCAGAGATGATGAAGATCTGTATATGTCAGAACTTATCAACTGCCAAACTGAAAAACAATTATATTACTTTTAAAAGTTCTTTTTATTGTTTCTCATTTTTTAAAACAGTTACTCGTGTACATTCTCACTATAGTTGCATCCGAAAAAGTGTCCTAAGAGTGCTTTAGGTGAGTCAAAGCAAAGTAAACATAACCATTTTGGAGATGTTTGTCTGAGGTGTCTGGCAGGTGACGTCTGGTGAGTGTCAGTCAAACACGCAGATACGCCTTAATCTTGGATTATATGTATACCTACTATACTTATCAGAATCTACAAAATCACTCTTATGCAGATAGCTTTTTCAAAGGACACCGTCTAAAGAGGGAAAAAATTCTTGAGGTAAGTCTTTCAGCGTGGTGGCTGACACTTTTTTGTATTGAGAGAGGAAAACATACTTACTTCTGATGCATCAGTACCCTTATCCATAAGATCAATCTTTGTCAAAACTCCAAACGTCCTATCCCCTGAAAACAAAATTGAACAATTTTCACAAAGTGATCTTCAGTCACATAGTGATCTTAAGTTGTCAGCTTGTATTTTCTAGAACCCCCCACCCAAACCATGCCAAAAAATGTAAGCTTGTACTTCTATACAATATATACTTATGAACTATAACTACATAGAATCTCAGTCACATAATTTGGTGTCAACCAAGCTAAACTTACCTCTTCTAATGCAAATAATTATATTATCAAGCAAACTTAAACATGATATTATTTTGTACGAACATGATCCAAGTTTCCCAACACAAGAGACATGATCAATTAACAAAGTGATTTTCTTTGCAGTAGATGTTATGAACCTAAGTTTTAATGTAAACATCTTTAATAGTATATTAGCTTTAGCTATTTTATGAAATTAATTAATACATCTAACTTCAAATAATACATTCCTCCAACAATTACTTCATCAACAAAATTATGTTCAATATCTTATCTTACCTTTAGGATCTACTTCACGGGAAATCTTAATTGCATCTGAGGTAGCAAGATCTTGATTAGCAGGAGATATTGCCAAAATGATGCAATTCGGCTGCAATAATTCATAAATTACAGTATTATTACTCTCATTGACATGATCATGAATGGCTTAAATTGAATATGAAGTTTCATCAGAATTAAACTGAACTTCTAATGAAATATTTAATCATTTCCTTAAACATTTTTTTACCTCATAACAAATAAATGTTTGCATATTCATCAGAAATCATTTAGTTTTACCTTTTCGATAAAGGCCCGGACCATATTTTCAATATCTTGCACAATGCTATCTGGTTGACCCTCTGTAATATCCAGGCAAAATCATGCCATTAATCCCCATATTTATAATGTAGTGGTGCTCGAAAACTTAACTGACAGAGAAAAGTGACAATCTTAGAATGAAAACTCACCAACTGCGACTTTAGTTAGTCCAGGAAGATCAACTAGTGTCAAATTGACAACTGCAAAAAAACAAATTCAATGCATGAAGTTGATACTCAAATAACAACACTTATTTCTTGATAGCCTTTGTATTCAACACTAGTTATAAAAAAGAGTGGTAATAATAGCACTCATTGATATTTAACTTATTTGATGGAAAAATGAAATTTATCAATAAATTGGGTCTAACAGTAACAAAGATACAGAGGATTTATATTCATGATAAAGTGCTAAGATAGAACATAATTGGTATTGTATATTTTGCATTCTGAAAGAAAACAGTGATTGGTAAACATGTAACAGTAGTAATGACCAATCAGTTGAAGAGTTTGAACTTAAAAATAATTCAATTATGCATGTTACGAGTTCTAACCAACTTAAAAATATTTAACTGCTAATGTATGTAGCTCACCATGAGGGGAATAGATACTCAGATGGATGGGAACAGACGAAATACCCTTTGAGCGACCTGTTTCTCGATCAGTCTCATCAGCGATCTCCTGCCTAACAGCAGCTACAGAACAGGCAAAATTAGTAACTACCGGAAAAACAGCAGCAGTAAAGAATACAACAACAACCAAGTCTTATCCTACTAAATGGGCCCGGCCATCAACTTTCGCCATAATATTCTATCCAGGAGCATGTTTCTATCTTAATCGTTAATCTCAAGTAGGCAACATTTGTTTTGACAAAATATGTATGAAGTTACTTGATAGTTGCGGGTGAAAGGCAATCTTTAATGTTAGTGAATACCAAAATCAGTAAATCTCTTCCTTGGAGCATGCATAAACTCAGCATATTCTCTCCCTTCATCAATCTTGTGAAGCTGCAAAACAAGAGGACGCCGAGTAACAATCCCTACATACAAAAAAAGGTTTAAATCATCCGAAACTCATATCATTGTTGGAGAGTGAGAAAGACGAAAAGCAAACCACAAAGGTGTACAATACAAGACCATGTACACATATTTATATTTATATACACATGTATTAACATACTAAATTACCAGATCCACGAGGTAAAAAATCCTTTCCAACAATACTCTCCAACACTGAAGATTTTCCAGAACTCTGCAAAATTGAAATTAACGGATAAATCTATTTGAAAACCTAGAAACAATGTAATACTGAAAAACACATTGCGAGTATTTTCAATTTCAATTCTAAAATAGAAACATTGAAAATTTGAAATCAAAAAATTGTATTAAACTAACAATCACGTAAATTAAAATTATGAACAAGTATTGATTCATTTAACAATATAACAACACTAATTCATTTTAGATCGTAAAAGCGTTTAGAGATAGAAAAAGAAAGAGAGGGACCTGTCCTCCGACGACTGCGATGGAAGGAAGAGCATCCCAGAGAGTAGGCAAAGCGCTCTCTTCGCCGTGATCGCCGAGTGCAGTGCAAGCTCTTTGTATTTTGTTCACCAATTGTATCAGATTCTCCATTGTCTTAACAGCACTGAGTCAACTCGCTCACACGGAGCTTTTCAAATCTGAGAGAGAAAATCCAACCACGAAAGGAAGAAGAGGAAGCTGTTGGAAGAAAATTTCCAAATGTTCGTTACAAAATTTCCCGTGCTTTTTTTCTGTTATATGTCTATTGACTATATTGCCCCGTACTACTGAACATAGATAACTTCCATGGTTTCTATTGCACTTTCTAGTGCAACAATTTAAGCCGTTAGATTGATCTAACTTGAAAAACAAATACCTTAATGTATTAAAAAATTATCAATTTACCTAATGCAAACCCTCCAATAATATTTTTGCCCATATTAATATATTTGGGTGAAGATTGGTGTTGCATCAGCTTTCAACTAGATCAAATTTAAAGTGTTGTGGTGCTATAAGTGGTTTCACTTAATTTGGTGTGTACTCTTTTCGGTGGAGAGAGCCAGGATTTGAACCACCTTTTTCGGAGGTTGCTAGTTTTGATAGGTTGGTGGTCTTAAACTTTGGATTGGATTATGTTTCTTTAACTCTTTATTCCATGATTGTTAATGAATGTTTGCTTGCGTTAGAGGTGACAATAGGTGTGAACTTTAAGGTCAATTTAGGTTGGACTTTCGGTTTAGCTTTATGTTAGACCATTTGATTTTGTCGGAACTCAATCCTTTTTGAAGGCGGCTCTTTGGTTAAGTTTGATGGGATGGGGATGATTAAACGATTGTCGTGGGATTGAGTAGTTACTAATCAGAAGTTCAATAGTTAGTATTCTTGGTTCGAGTGGTGTATCGCTCTGATCTCAGTCTTAGATTAGTCTGAGCCGGTCGTTTCTTGTTATGATTGTTCTCTTACTGTATTGTCTTTTATTGGGTTGTGCATCTCTGGTGCCATTTTAATATATTTTGCTTATAAAAAAAAATACCAATTAATTATTTAATTTATTTCACTATTATAAAATTATAGCGTGCAAACATACAATGTAAACTTGTACACTCATCATTTTCATCATGCATAAAGTCATATGATTGACTACATGGATCACTTCTAGTTCTATCACATACCTCATGGTAATCGCACGCACGCACGCGCGCGCGCCCCCCCCCCCCCCCCCCCCCCCCCCCCCCACACACACACACACACACACACACACACACACACACACACACACACACACACATATATATATATATATATATATATATATATATATATATATATATATATATATATATATATATATATATATATATATATATATATATATATATATATATATATATATATATATATATATAATTAACTTCAATATGAAAATGAAATGAAGTTCATTAAATAACTTTCCATTATGGTATCATTCGCCTTGTTAATTCCTTCCGCTCTTTTTAACAAACTCTAACCGATTTCAGTTACATATCATTGGAGTTACTGCTTCTTCTTCATTGCGCTGCCATGGGTGAAATCTCAGAACCTGTGCAAGTAGTATCTCTGACAATAATGGCGTTGCAGCTTCAACGATTAACTATTAATGCACCAGATGCATCATCTTCACATCATTTTGGTTCCAAAATTTCAATCAACCCTCAAGAGAACAACTACTCTTTATGGAATCAACAAGTTGATGGTAGCATACTTGTTCAAGTAGTGCACAAAGTAGTGGTCAATCCCTGCATTCTTCCGATATTCAAGATGATGCAAGATCAATCCAAAGGCAAGATCTTCGATGAGTATGAAGCTTGGATCGTCCATAATCAAGTGATCTTCATCTTTCTTCTTTCCATCATTTCTGAGTTTATGCTTCATCGAGTTCTCTGTTGCAAGCACATCTTTGAAGTATGAGACAAAATTCACAGATACTTCAACGCTCATTACTAAATACTCATTCTATACAAAATTAAAGGATGGTCATAGTACCATACAAAAATAGCGGGATTATGGTTGAAGCTGAATTCATGTACTTTTCTAGTTTGAAATATAAGAATTATGAATTGGCATCTAGATCGTACTTTGGGGTCATTGAAGAGATTATAGAGTTTGATTATGTTACTTTTAAAGTGTTTTTATTTAAGCGCAAGTGAATTGATAATAACGTTGGTGTAGAAACTGATGAATTAAGATTCACACAGGTTAATCTTTAAAAGATGACTTATATGAACAAACCATGTATCATGGCATCCCAAGCAAAACAAATTTTTATGTCACTGATCCTTCTAACACAAGATGGTCAATTGTTCTACAAGGAAAATATATTCTTTATAGTGATGAAAATCAAGAGTTAAATTTTGACACCCCTTCTTTTGCAACACATGTACGTCTCTCATCTGAAGAAAATGATTTCGACAATGATGTGTATGTTATTCATCATGATCATCAAGAGGGGATATGTGAAAACTAGTAAGTAGATGTTTTATATCACTTAGTAATGTATATTTATTCATTTATTCTTTTAAATTATTTTTAATAAAGATTTAATGTTGTTGTTATTAATGATCTTAATTAGTTTTAAATGTGGTTCAAATTATAAGTGTTTAATCACCGGTTGACAAATCACAGAAGAGAACCTTTGGATGGCCTACAAGACTTTGCATTTTGTTTATTGCTTTTGTTGGTTAATCATTTGTTTTAGTTTTAATTTGTCGTAAAATTATAAGGGGTACATGTGTCATTTTGGCTTTGCAAATGGTGCAAATAATGAATATTTTTGGAATGATGTGTCAGTTTGAGAAATGGACAAAATGTACAATGTTTCTGTTTCAGAAATGGCCAAAATATGGTTCTATGATACATGTTAAAACCAAAATATAGAAAAATAAAATAAAATAAAATAACAATGTTTTCCCCTCGGTTATTGTTCCGGACTGGTCCAATGGCTTGGCATGACTCAATCCACTTATGCTCCCATAACGACCTAATTGCCTAAGTCCAGCCAATTTAGGGTAACATTTACCTTTCTGCTCCTCTACCGAGGAAGGCTGGTTGGTTGACCTCCAGGGTCAACTGCCCCTCCTCAGTAGTTCCTGCCCGACACGCACGGTTCCACCATCCAGAAACAGTCACGATGTTTGTGCCCGTTACTGCGCCTCTGCCCGTGGCAACGACTAGTTTTGGGCACTATAAAAACCCTCTCATTTTAGAGGGTCAGGTATTCAATAATCATCCTAACACGCACATACTCTGTACTTGCCTTCTTTTCTCCCGATTCTCACTTTAGCATCAGGACTGAGACAGTGATCCCCATTGAGATTCATGTTCCATCCAGGCGGACTGAAGCTCCCCTGAATGAGGAGACTAATAGCAAGGCACTAAGGGAGGAGCTCGATCTCGTCGAAAAGGTCCAGTCAGAAGCAGTCCTCTGTGAGGCCTCATTAAAACCAAAAAATCTCGATTAGGCACAACACCAAAGCTATATGACGAGAGTTCCAAGTAGGCAGTCTCGTCCTAAGAAGGAATCACAAAGATTCTCGAGAAGAAAAACTTGTCGCTAACTTGGAGGGGGCCTATCGTGTTCGAGCAAAAACTGAGAATGAGGCCTACTACCTAGAACATCTTAACGGGGAACAAACTCGCTCGACCATGGAACACCGAAAAGCTCAAATAACATTATAGCTAAGGCCTTAACTGTCAGCAGGCTTCGTCGACACGACGAGCATAACACATCGACCATAAGTGCACGCCCAAGTACAAGCGTTGCATACTAAAATAAATCAAGGGACGTCGGTCCCTCGATCGAGCCCACCATAGACCAAGTACCATGCCAGGCAGAACACCCAGCTCGCGATGGGAAGTTCACGCTACGAACTCAGGTCACAAACGTGACCTGAGCTCCGCCCTCATGCCCGAAAGCTACCCAGGCCTTTCGACCAATCCCCCTCACTGTCGAACATATCTTGTCAAGCAAACCCCAAAACAACAAATCATGTATTAAAGCAAAGTAAAGACAAGCACATAAATGAATCATACAAAACCGACCATATTCGTCGGGAATAAACATTATAATAAAAACGGCCACAAGGACCGCGATTGTACGTGTTACATTACCAAGGGGCCAAGCCCCATACAAAAAATTAGTTACAAAAACACAGCGCGCAGGCCGAAAGTACAACTAAAGGGAAAATCACTCGTTCATCTGCTGAGGCTCTTCACATGAAGCTTGCGCATGTTCCTCGCCGATTTGGAGAAAGTCGGGGATGACGATCCTGCCGCCCGCAACACTGTGGAGGAACCCGACTCCCTCGGTGGACAATTCAACCCCAAAGTTCACGATCTTTAGTTGCTCCACTGTATTATTGAAGGCCTCCTCAGTGATGGCCACACAGTCGTCCTCAGCCTGGGTAATACGAGTGACCAGCTCAGCCCGAGTCTTTAGTTTCTTCACTTTCTCGCTCTCACCCTCAACAGGAGCAACAACGGTCTTCAACTGCTCAACCAGGTCCTCCGTGACTTTCTTTTCCGCGACAAGGGTATCCTTCTCCCCGTTGGCCTTGGCCAGGTCATCTTGGTACTTTTTCACCATGTCTTCGACGGCCTTGGCCTGCTCCTCCTAGGACTTCTTCAACTTTTCTTCCAGGTTCGTAATCGCAGTCTGGACCTTCTTCAGCTCGGATTCATGGTGGGAACCTTCCTCGGTGTAAACCACCGCCATTTTTGAACCCTTATCAGGGCAGAAGCATCCTCATCAAGCATTGTCCTTTTACTCGGGTGGTCCATCTCCTCTAGCTTCAGAGACTCCGCCCGAGGAATTCCCGAAGAAGAGCCTTCGAAGAATCTCTTGTTGTTTAGGCATGGGGGAAACTCAAATATACTTTTTCCCCCTCCTTACTGAGGTCCACAATCCCACCCGTTCGTTTACGCTTGAGCCTTGAACTCATAGGCACGGGGGGTGTCTGGGCAACCGATGAGGTAGACGAGGAGGTCCCCGACCCCGTTTGCGGAGGAGGCGCTCGCTGGCTGAGGCGGATCTTCCTGATCGTTACGCCCCCTTGAGCTTCTCCTGAGCATTCTTT